AAGCCGACATGGCTAATATTTAAGCTTACTAGAAGTGGAAAGACACATCCACCTTAAGGAATCCTAGTAATAATCCATGTAGGGTGCTAGTAATGGTCCAGGCAGAATAAAAATTCTGTTGGTCCTTACCTCACACTTCATGGCTATTTAAAATATACTTGTAAGCACTGACTATTGTTTCTCTTTTTTCCTTCCATCCCTCCTTTCTTCCTTTTGGTTTAGGAAAGGAAGAGGTGGGCACTAACCAAAAAAGATTATCTTTACTTCTATAAGTGGTAAAATAAAAGGAGAGAAGTCTTCAGAATAGAAAGAGTGACCCTAAAACAAAAGAAAGAAAATAAAAATTTGTTAGATTATTTTTAATTGCTTATTTTTTTTAGAACTTGTTCTTTAGTTCACATGCAGTATTAGAATAATTTAAAATAAGAGATACTGGAGCATTTAAAAAGCATACTGAATATAAGTTTTTCTCCCACACTGTAAGTTACAAAGTTTTGGAAAGTAATGTACTGCATAATGGATTTTTTTAATATTTCAATAATGATGAAAATTACTTATTTTTATGTCATCTGTATCTAGTACCAAGATGTCCTAACAAAGAGGAAAACAGTTATACAGTCACATCACAGTGATTATATATAGTATGTCTAAAGACTTGATCTAAAGAACCTATCATTCAGAGATGTGTTGTAGAGGCATGTAACACATCACTAGAAACAATACGCTTCATTTCCTCAGACTTCATGGTGTTCATCCATACAGATGGCTCTTGATTACCTACATAATCTCATGATTTCCCATCGCCAAGACTTTTGTTACTAAAAGACACATAATTTAACTGACACTCTTTCAAAATCAGCATAGTTAAACAAAAGTCTACTGCACACTCATAATACTTCAAAATTTCTTAACATGTAAAGTTTCTGACTTCTTTTACATCGTATGAGATAGAATATTGTAGAGTCCCAAAATAAATTATCATTTTTCCCCTTCTCTCTCTCTTTCTTTAATTTCTATTTCACATAGATTAAAATTTAGCCGTCATTTTGGCAGGATGTGTGATTTCAAGCTATTAAGGTGAGCTGTGTAATAAGGAAGGTCAAAACCCATGAATTTAGTCATAAACTATGTAGTCTACCACACAATGTAGTGGCCTACATTGTGCATTGTATTTATGCTTGGTTTTTTGAATATTTTGTTTATCTGTAAAAAAGCATTGTCACAATATAAAATAGCTGTAATATGCCATTTTTTTTGGTCCAGCAATACATGTTAAAGTAATAGAACTGTGGGTCTATATAGATTGGCTAAAAGTGTTTTCATATTGGCTAAAATGGCAACATCTTATCATGTGAAGTTACAGTTCATTTTGTGATCATTACTTTTGTGTTTGCAATTGCACCAAAATCCTTATTTTTAATATGTTATTGTATACATAGCTAATCCATAAGATCTGTAAGATAAACATGAACATTTGTGAATTTTAGTCTCACTTTAGGATAATTTTTCAAAGCAAAAGATCATTCCAAATGCTTTGAAGCTTAGAATTGGGAGAGCTCTTAAGTTAATGCATCCTGGTGTATCGCTTTATTCAGTATATATGCTTTTTTAATTTTTAAAAAAGCATTTCATACTTAAATAGGCATGAAAATGTGATCTATAGAGGTGTATCTAAACTTTATTTTAAACCAATGCTAAATGTGTGTGCCTATGAAAGGTGGAATGATTGTGTTACATTAATCACCATACTTTTGAAGATGTACCATAAAATGACCTTGAGAAGACAGTTAGTTGTGTTTATCTTTATGAAAAAAGAAAGTATTCTCTCATATTGGCCTTTTATCCTCCATTCTTGTAAACTTTTCTGAGAATCTGTGACATTCTGCTAACTTAGGAGTATGGTATATCTTTTGGGGGAAAAGATAAGAAATATCTTTCTTGTGTATCAGTCAGGATGTGAGTGAACTAATTCTTTTGAAAGTTACTCTTTATTATCTTCCCTTCAAAGGTGGGATTCCAACAAAGCAAATTTAATTTAAATAAGTTTCTGACTGTGAAATAAATCTTACCATTATGAAACACTGCATGGTGCTTTTACCTTATAAATAGTTTTTACATGGTTATGCCATAGAGTAAGGTGAGTTGAGAACTAAGTGGGAACCTCTAAAGTAATAAATTATTTGGTTTTGGAGATTGAAAAGAGTATCTGTGTGCTAAATAACCTGCTTCTTGATTTCAGCCAAGTTCAAAAACTTTGCAGAAATAGATAATTTTAAAATGATAACTATGTGTCGTTGTTGTTGTTGTTTTGTGTGTTGTTTGTGTGCGTATGTATTTTCTTTTTCATTTTAACCAGCCTCTTATACCTAGAAGTCCCACAAGCAGCGTTGCCACGCCTTCCAGCACCATCAGTACACCAACCAAAAGAGACAGTTCTGCTCTCCAGGATCTCTACATCCCCCCTCCTCCTGCAGAACCATATATTCCCAGGTACGAAACCAGCCATCCCATTGTTCTGGGCAGCTTCTATCCAAAGACTAGCCTAACTATGTAAACTGTGAAGTAAATTCTCAAGGAGCACCTTGAATGTTTTCTTAGATAGGAACTCTAAGCATATTCCGGAAAACTATTGCATTGTAGAGAATGCACTTTGCTTAATAATAGTAGTAATGGGCGCCTGGGTGGCTCAGTCGGTTAAGTGGTTAAGTGGCAGGGAGCCTTCTTCTCCCTCTCCCTCTGCCTGTTGCTTACCCTACTTGTGTGCCCTTTCTCTCTGTCAAATAAATAATAAAACCTTTAAAAATAATAATAGTAGTAGTAGTAACAATAACTAATCTGTATTAAACGCTATGCATTAAGTATCTTGTAAACATTTTCTCATATAATAGGAAAGAGTAGGAAAGTAACAATAAATAACAATTGGGATTCTTTTAATAAGTAAGGAATAAGTGAGGGTTCTTGGCTAAGAAGACCCAGAAAATCTCAAGTTACTTTGAAGCATTCTATACTTTTTTTCTAAAAGAGAAGTTTATAGGTAACTTCTATGCCTTCTTATATGTGTGTGATGAGGGAGCTCTTGGGGGAGGGGCTAAATGATGAGAAGAGAGAGTATAGTATCCCCCCTAATATTTCTGTATCTACAGTTTCTTCTTGATTAGTTCAATAATGTTTCTGTCAGAAAGTGGAAAGAATTTGCAAGAGAATGAGTTGCCTTTAGAGCCTATTTTCTAGATTTCTTGAGGCTATATCTCTGTTTCATTTCCAGATTCTATTTGAAATTCCTGGCAGGTGTGGAAGATTACAACTTTGTGCCATAATGCATTCTGTCCAAAGCATTCTGATATCCAGCCTTGTGGAATATAAAAATTATGGAAAGGGGCCAGCACTAAATGGGGATAATTAATACCAATCACAAAGAATTTGGTTCCATTTTTAAATTAGGTTTGCAGTCATTCTAAAACAGTAATTTAAGGTCTCTTATTTTCAAGCCACACTTCATATTAAATTTCTTCAGTATATAAAAGAACTGAAATTCCTTTTTTAATTAATTTTCGTTATTCTTTGGTACACCTAATGTTTCAATTCTCTCAGATATGAGGGTACTGACATTTTACTATCTAAATGTTACATGACAGCATAGTGTGTCCGCAAATACTGTATTGTTGTCTAGTAATAAAACTGTAGTCCATTTTATAAACATTTTAGTTCTTAATTTTGAGAATTAAATGTAGCTGTGGGAACATGGTTTATGAGAAGACATAATTTCCTAAGCTGGCTTTTCACAAATCTTTCTAATATGTAATTTACAGTCTTACGTTAAAGTTACAATCAGATGCACAGCTCCATCTGATATCCTAGCCAAACGCAAGTGACATTTAATTCTATTAAGATGGTGTCAGGCTTTGAATACTCTTGCATGAGGAACAATAAAAATGTGTGCTTCAAATAGTGACTCTTTAGTTTGTTTTCATTTTAATTGGAAAGACTTTTATTTCAATGCAAATGATTATTTAAGAAACCTTACCCCAAGGGCTACATGTACAGATAAACATCAGAAGATTATTTTTATCAAATATCTGCAGTTTTTTAATCTTCTTTCCTTTTCTCTTGTGTAGGTAGGAACTTATTATAAAGAAAGTATTTCCTAGATAGAAACTGTTTAAAATATACTTCAGGAGACAAAAGAATAAAATGATTGAGTTCTGTCCTCTGAGTATGGTGGAGATAGGATTATGGCAATGTGCGGAAGCCAATAAAAAGCTTGAACATACTATTTAAAAATATCAAAGATATTAGAAGTTGAAGTATCAACATGTTGATACTTGTCAGTATTGTTTGAAAGCTTCATACTTTTCAGTAAACTTCATAATCACTTTAATTATTCTACATATTTTTTATTTAATGTAATTACTATTTCAGAATATGAAAATATTCTAGATATATTTTGAGTTAAATTATTAATTATCCAAGGCACACAGTCATTTGATATAGCACAGTCAGAACAATCCATGCATCTGAGTTCCTTGTATATATAAATTATCTGCATTTTCAGGTTTGACTTGAAGTTATGGCATAGATATAGCCTTGACACTTTTTTCCCATTTTGCTGTTTTGATATTAAATGGGGCTTGCCTAATTTAACTCATCTGAATGTTTCTTTTTTTCTATATTAAAAAAATTTGTTTCTGTAGGGGAGGCATATTAGTGTTCATTTGGATTGTAAATAATAAAAGCTCCCTCACCTTAAAACCAAAGAAACCCTTAAAAATGGTAGGGCTAGTTGTCAGGTGGAAACTTTTTCATGGGCTTACAATTCTTTGAACACATTTATTCCAGAAGAAAATATGGTGGAAAAAAAGTGCCTTTTCTCTAAAAGAGAAGACACTCATATACGTGGAATGAGTAAAATTTGGTCAGTTTTTTATTATATGTCTTATGACTATATGTAGCTTCATTAAGCATTTACATAATTAACCAAATCTCTTTTTCCATGACAAAAATCAAGAATTTGTAGGTCTTTGCACAACTCTGAAGTTCAAGCACTAACTTCTGTCAGTTTTACTCTGAACCATAAAATATAAAGAAAATCCACTAAAGCAGTATTCTAACTTTACATCTATTTCCTTAAATCCTTTTCAGAGTAAAAGTGTAGGTTTATCACGTACATAACACTAAGAAATTTTTTTAAAAATCTATACAGCAGGACCAACTAATATGTTGAGTTATTCAGAGACTCATGATGTGAGTACATACACACATGCACACATAAAGAGATATGCACACAACTGTTCAGACACTTATACACAGAACACATATATCGGTTCATTCTACTGCAAAGATTGTGTTTGGTTTGTACATTTCTTCATTAAACTTTATTTGTATGCGTTTCATATGGACATGTTTAATAAATCTTTCTTGTTGGTATGAGGTGAGACCTCCTTTACTGTATCATTACAGAGTAAGTAATATCAGCCCTTGCAATTTTCTGCCATGGGGATGTCCGTATAAATAGAGCATGGTGAATTAACTAGGGCTGAGTCACCCTCTGATCTCAGCTGCATTAACATTCATGTCACAGGCCTGATAGAAATATTTTCCCATTTCCAGACAGGCAAAACCTTACTCCAGTGCCATGAGTTCGTCAGGGCTGTTTTAAAGTGAATTACAGTGTCAATTTCTTTTTGGTAGAGGACTAACAGTAACAAAAAGCGCCAGGCAATGTGTTCAGGAAAAGTTTTCAGCTTGCTGAAAATGAAATTCTGTCTGGATTTTATATTTGTTTTCTTCATGTTGCCTGAGAACTAGCTGTCCAGTGCAATTTAGCAATAGGCAATATTTTTAATTTAAAAAAATAAGAGTGAATAACAATGTAAATGGCAGTCTCAACTTGTGAGGTGTTAAATACATGAGACAGCTTGCTGATTCAATCAGTCTTGAGAATATTATTTACTACTTTCAATATATTTCAAATACTAGGAATGTAGCTCTCTTCATTTGGACAGACCTAATCTAGACATTTGCATACACCTACAAAAGCATAGTATACCCTCGTACGGAAGTATAGAAGTATAATATTCTTGCTGAACTGTAACTCATAGTTTAGAATTGATTTATAAGCTCATCACCATTTTATAAGACATAATGTCAATTAAAATTGTGTTCCTTTTATCTGTCTCATTATAATTTAGCTAATCTGTTGATATAAGATTTCAGTCTTAGCACTTAACATAAAATTAAATTTTTCTCTGGTTTGATAGCATTCACGACACTGAGGGTAGAACTGGAAGCAGTTAAGAACTAGGAGGAAATAAAATTAATGATCTGCAAGGGAAGAAACATTGCATTTACAATCATAGTCATGTTCTAGGAGACAGGCTTTTCTAACAAAGACTTCATAGCTAGTCATAGTGAAACACATCATAAAATAAACAAGGTTCAATTTAACCCATCATAAGTGGAGTATTTCTACCAAAATTCCACTCATTAGGCGCCCAATTGCCTGGGCTGTGTAAATTAATATTGTATGTAAGTAACAATCTTAGGGATCCCATAAATGATTAGATTTTTCTTTTTTAGAATCCTATAGAAAATCAATTTGCCATCATCTTAAATTCCATATTTTGTCAGGTTTCTCTGTGTTCTCTCCACAAGAAGTGTTGCTGATTTGCAATGAAATTTTGAACTATCCATTTAGAATTAGTTATATGAATGTGTGTTTTTGATATTAAATAAGATACATAGATTTTAAATATTGAAAGTCATTCTGTTCAATACGGTTGATTTTAAATTACTAACAAGCTGTTTGAAATTCTTAAAATGCCAGTTTACAGAATGGTAATTTGGTTCTTAAGGCTGCAAATGTCCTTACAAAGGTGGTAGTTCTTAAACACATCTTTGTTTTTAAGCAGTGAAAATACTACTGTACATCAATTAGTTAAACTGGCACAAGAAAGCTATATTGGTAGCATCGTTAAACTTATACCTACTATCTTGAGCACCAAAAGTAATTTATGTGCTGACATGATTTCCTTTGTATGACATAGCACAGTGAAAATGAACTAGAGCGGGAGTTAGAAGATCCAGGATTCATGTCCAGCATTGTCATTTATTAGCTGTGTGACCTTTAGGCAAGTTATTTAACCTCTCTGATTTTCAGCATTTATTTTCCTACAATATAGGGATAGTTAAAAATTACGCTTTAAGCCTCAAAGAAAGTTTAAAAAAAATCAGAAGATATATTGTATGAGAAGGATATTATAAACTGTTTTAGACCCTCTCTCCCATTTTACCACCCTAACACTTTCCTACATCCTTCTCCTTTACTTTTCTTAAGGGATGAAAAAGGAAACCTTCCTTGTGAAGACCTCAGAGGACATATGGTTGGCAAGCCAGTGCATAAGGGATCTGAATCACCAAATTCATTTCTGGATCAGGAATATAGAAAGAGGTTTAATATTGTTGAGGAAGATACTGTCTTATATTGCTATGAATATGAAAAAGGAAGATCAAGTAGTCAAGGAAGACGAGAAAGCACCCCGACTTATGGTAAGAGTTCTTTTCTTACATTGACAGGAGAACATGTCTCACATGAGAACCTCTATTTCTTTTCATACACTTTTGGGTTATGAAATTCCTTGATTTACTTGATAGCTTTTGAATTTTATAATTGTTCTGTGTCTGTCATGTGCTTCTAAGTGGAATCTCAACAGTGTGAAGTGTGATATTAAAAATTATTCAAAATTTTCCAAGGATAGGTAAGAATAGTAGGTAGGGTTTTAACTCATATTAATGACTTAAGGACACCTTGAATCACATGTAATTTTTGTTACGTCAGATATCGCCAAATTGGAATAATTGAATTTTCCTTTTTTTAAAAGATGAATGCTCCTATTAACTTGACTTATATAAAATTGACTCCTTATTCCTCAGGGATTAAAAAAATCTTTAGATAAACTTTCTGGGGAAAAAATATCACCACAGTTTTTGTGTTTTTTTAAGAAGTTGGAAAATTTGAGTAGAAGTGGATTCTAAATAGGAAACACACACCGTATTTAAGTCAGAGATGACCTTAGAGTTACCACATCCCTAGGATTTTTCATCTTTGACTTCTGTTTTTCTGTGCATGACCAAGACCAAGAGACCAAGAAAGTAATGCAGTCACGTGTACTTTAAATTGATACATTGTATGTGAAAGATTTGCCTATGAAGTTGCCTAAAATTAAAGTAGTAAAGCTATTATCCTACCGCAAGAGTGAAAGGATTTAATTGAAACTCTGTGCTCCTCCTTTTCCAGTTTTCAAACTGATCATTTCAAACTATGCTCCTCTATGCTGAGGAGCATAGAAAATGGGTAAGACAGTATTCTTGCTGATTAGTACAGATGATCAGCTGGAGCTGAGTAGAAGGATAGTTGTCTTTAGGGGTTTTTTCCACTTGCCCTCCTTACTTGTCCACTATGGCCATATGTCTCCCTCCTGTGGTTCCAAATGATTGGTCATCATTTACCTTACTTACTACATGTGCCTGATTTCCTTACAGCTCTTTGGTAATAATTATGTATGAGAAGTTTTGCCCCAAATGGTCCTAAACAATAGGAACCATACTTACCTTATGTTATTCTCTGTCCATGTGCTTTTTTAAATCATAATAAGTAATGATTTTTTGAACATAGCTCCTCAATTATACTATTCTGTGGGTACTTTTCTTAAACTGTCATAATTGGAAGGTATTTGCGCCTTCACTTTTCTCCCCTATTATATTGTAAACTTCTTCAGTACAGAGCAGCATAGAAGCATACCATCTTTGTTATCCCTACCCTTGCTTTATCACATAAGATCTTTATTTTTATTCATTCATTCCACAAGTACTTACTGACTATCTGTTATTGGATAGGCAAAAATGTATATCAAGTCTTTTTTTTTTTAAGATTTTATTTATTTATTTATTTGACAGAGAGAAATCACAAGTAGGCAGAGAGGCAGGCAGAGAGAGAGGAGGAAGCAGGCTCCCTGCCGAGCAGAAAGCCCGATGTGGGGCTTGAACCCAGGACCTGGGATCATGACCTGAGCCGAAGGCAGCAGCTTAACCCACTGAGCCACCCAGGCGCCCCTCCAGTTTTTTTTATCTCTTAGAATTATTTTGACTCTCTTCTACTTATTTTGAAATAGATAAGAATGTTTAAGGGAAAATTCTAGTCACCAAATGAAGTTGATTGCTGATAGCTTTATAAAAAATTGTTACTTGATTCTCACTTGAATGGCTTTGTTAGTCTCTTCAGACTACAGTTTTAAATCACCTAGTGTCATCATGTTCCACAAATCCTCTCTCTCCCAATAAAACAAAATTCTGTTTAAGTTTTAGAAAATTAAGATATCCTATAGATATATATTTTGTAAAGATTGATTTATTTTAGATAGAGGGAAAGAGAGCACAGAGGGGAGGGGAAGAGGAAGAGGAAGAAAGAGTCTTAAGCAGACTCTGCTCCAAGCAGGGAGCCTGACATAGGGCAGGGCTCAATCTCCTGACCCTGAGATCATGACCTAAGCTGAAACCAATAGTCAGTCACTTTATCCACTGTGCCATCCAGGTCCCCAATATGATAGATTTTTATAAACAACTTAGAAAAAAAGAAATATATATGTATGTGTGCTTAAAAAAGGGGTAGGAGGTTTTTTAAAAATAAAGTTATTTTACTTTTGATCCTGGAAGGTTTTTTTTTTTAACTTTTGAACATGAAATATAATCTGAACCATCAGTGGAAATACTTACAGATGCTTCAGTGAAGATTTTCTAGCAGTTTAATGTATTAAAACCTTTTTAAAATCAGATCATAAGTAATAAATTCTGCCTGTCACACACATGAATTTGAGTCCTTAATTTTCCCAAAGATTAATTCATTTCTAAATTCATTCAGCAAATATTTGTTGTGTACATAAAATCATCCAGTCACTGGGGGTTCAAAGGTGAATAAAACATAAATTTTCCCTGAAAGGCAGTCATAACCTAGAGGGAAGAAACAAATAAAGAGATGCATTGTAATAACTTTAGGTAAGTAGGAATATGTGAACAAAGTAGTACACTAGCCCAGGAGCTGAAGCCCCAGAGTCTTCCCGGGAAGTCACATAACTAAAAGTTGCATTTGTGCTGAGTTTTAAATAAGTAGTCATCTTCTAGGGTTTAGTTATCCCCACCAAATATCTGATAATTTCTCAAACCTCAGTCAGAGATCTGAGGATTTGTATAAATCTTTCATCCCAGAACCTAACGGTCCCAATATAAACTATTTCAAAACTTGATAAGCAATTATCGATTACTTCTTTATTTAATCTATAAAGTAGTCCCATTCATAGACTCCCAAGTGTGACATTATTTCCCTATATTTAGAAAATAATGATAATAGGGGTGAGTGGGTGCATTAGGCATTTAAGCGTCTGACTGTTGGTTTCAGCGCAGGTCATGATCTCAGGGTCCTGGGATCAAGCCCTGCATCAGGCTTCACGGTCAGCGGGGAGTCTGTTTCTCCCTTTCCCTCTGTCCCACCCCCTACTCTTGATTGCTCGCTCTCCCTCTCTTTCTCTCTCTCAAATAAATAAATCTCTAAATAAATAAAGAGAAAAAATATATAATTCTGTTAAAGTATATTACATAAAACCTAAATTACAAAAATGTTCATGTTTCATATTTTCTGGAAATGACAATAATTTAACATGTTAGTCCTTGTGTGATGCCTTGAAATGTAATGAAGAAGTTATTTGGGCTTACAGTACTCAACTTACTTCTTAGTCACAAATACCCTTATCTTATATAGGAGCTTAGCCACCATTCTCTCCTATTAACTCCCCAGATTACATGTTTGTTCCAAGAGGTTTAGAGTTAAGATTATAAGAGTATAGATAGGATTTTGAAAAGCAAAGGAGAAACATGATTCAGTCCTTTTTATGTTTTTGGTTAAATGTGTATATACTTGTCATATTACCTTAGTACATTCATATTTTAAAGTTAGATATATAAAACAAGAATATTTAGGGAACCTCTGCTTTTGGACACAGTGACAAAGAAACACATGTAAAGAAAAATACCTGAAAATATCCTAACTGTGGACTTTAAAATATATATTTTTTAGGCAAGTTTCTCATTTTATATCATAGACCCACTAGTTGTTGCTAAGAGTAAGTTAAAAGAATTATTATTTACCCTAAACTATCAGACAAGTATAATACTGATAGACAACAGATGGCCCTTCTAGAAATAAGTCAGTAATGCCTGTGAGCTTTTATATATGCCAGGCACTGTGCTAAGCATTTCAAGGGCATTGACCCATTTAATCTTCACAACCCAGTGAAGTAGGTGCTAATAGAATCCTTATTTTACTGATGGATTAAATAACTTACCCAACTAGTAAGTAGTAGAGCTGAGATTAAGTACCCATACATATTTGGGACTCTACCAGTGGTACTAGCTAGCTAAATGTGATGAAAGTAATTTGCTAAATTGTAGAGAAATAATTTCCAGAAATTGAATTTCCTTCCAAATTCAAGCATTTGATTTCAAGCAAGCCGAAGTAGGTCTGATTCTGTATGGTCTCGTATGTGTTGTTTTATATTTATAGGCATTAGAGTAAATATGTTTTTACATAGACATGGCCCTGACAGACCTTGGGAAAAGGTAGCTAAATTGAGGGGTAAAATTAGCAACAATGTGTTATGTCCTTTTTAAATCCGAGAACATAAAATGGGTTCTACTTTCTTAAAAAGATAGATGAGACTAATTTCTGGAAACACGGAGTGGGGGAAGCAGCCTACATCAGTGGTTACTAGCACTGTGGCATCAGCCCTACTTGGTAATCCTGTCTTTTATCTAATTACTCTAGTGTGAGCTTGGGGATGTTGGTCTCAATTTTCTCCTTTGTTAAATAGAGATGATAATACCTGTCTCATAGACTTTTTGTGAGAATTTCATGACAATGCATTGTAAGTTGCCTGGAAAGTGTCCAGTATATTTAGTCTCATGGTTGCCACTGTTGCATAGAAACTTCAGTGCTGCTAAGAGAATACATGTTAAGTATTCTTACCTCACAGAAAAAAAGATAACTCTGTGATGTGATGGATGTGTTAAAATTGATTGTAGTCATCGTTTCATAATTCTCTGTATATCAAATCATCACATTGTACAAGTTAAATAAACAATTTTTATTTATACCTCAATACAGCCTGGGGGGGACCAAAAGAACTTAAAGATCTCAATACATAAATAATAATAGTAGTATCAACCATTTTAAACTTAGAAGAATTAGATGGGGTGAATAAACAGTGCAGTTTTTAAGTAAGTAACTTTAATGTAAACATTAGAAGAGGGGGAAAAGAGAACAACATTAAATCCCTTAAACTATTTGGTCTCATCTGCTCATGCTTCAAAGGTAAAGGTTTGAATTTGATGAGATCAGTTGCTTGGCAACTTTTCAGAATGATAATGTGCCCCATCAGCTTTCCTTTTTGCTGTTCACAGACTCTTTGCCCTTGCCTTTCCATCATACCACATTTCTATGC